TCACTTCTGGGGTGTGAGTTTTCAGTTGCATATTGTCCTGGGGACCATTCAGGCTTGTTCGCATTTGTGTTCCTCACGTGTGCCCCAAAGAATGAGGTGATTTGGTAAAATGCTATGCCCAAGATTACTATCCGAGTGCCGGCGGTGGGGTGGTTCAAATAGCCTCGGCTATCACCTCATTATGTCCGGTCGTGATGGTCAAGTGGATTAGGCGTCTTGTACATACCAGTTGCGTTGCTTCTGGGAGTATGGGTTCGAGTCACTTCTGGGGTGTGAGTTTTTAGTTGCATATTGTCCTGGGGACCATTCAGGCTTGTTCGCATATATATATATATATATATATATATATATATATATATATATATATATATATATATATATATATATATATATATATATATATCGTACCTAGTAGCCAGAATGCACTTCTCAGCCTACTATGCAAGGCCCAATTTGCCTAATAAGCCAAGTTTTCCTGAATTAATATAATTTCTCTAATTTTTTTCTTATGAAAAGATAAAGCTATCCATTTCATTATGTATGGTCAATTTTTTTTTATTGGAGTTAAAATTAACGTAGATATATGACCAAACCTAACCAACCCTACCTAACCTAACCTAACCTATCTTTATAGGTTAGGTTTGGTTAGGTAGCCCAAAAAGTTAGGATAGGTTAGGTTAGGTAGGTTGTGTTTGGTCTTGGTAGGTCTTGTGTTTTGTATAGTCCATGTTTATATGTTTTTTCGTTAATCTCATTTATTACCTAGGTTGCCTAGCCTAGCCATACTCCCTTACTCCATTGTACCCCTGTAAGCCCCTTTTGAGTTTGCTTTGTTCTGTATTGTGTACATCTTTTTCCCTATTTTATAGCTTATTTCTACCTTGTTATTTGCCTTTCTTCCCTTGTTTTTCCTGCAATCAGCTTTTTTTATGCAGACAAGTATAGACCCTGAACTTAACCTCTTATCCACTATCTATGACAATTATCACTTTAATGATCTAAATTGCAGATATTTTGCAGCACATGATGTAAACAATGTATTAACTCATAATCACAATATCTCTGTAATCAATTTGAACGTTAGATCCCTAGGTAAACACTTCGATGATGTTAGTGCCTTGATTGAAGCTATTGACAACAAATTCTCTTTTATTATACTTACTGAAACATGGTTGAAAGAGGATACTACTCAGCTCTTTAACATGCCTAACTACTCAGCAATTCACAACTGTCGTCAAATTCAGAGAGGTGGTGGCACTGCTCTTTACTACCACCAAGAACTAACATGCTTAAAAGAAATTAGAACCAGAGACTGCTATGGGGAGTATATCTTCGCCAGCTTCAGAGTCAAGGGTGCCGAGTCTGTCCTGACTGTGGGTGCAGTTTATAGAATTCCTAACACTGATGTGTCCGAATTCAACTCAAACCTTAGAAATCTAATACTTGATAACAGACTGAACAAAAACCACCTAATTATCGCAGGGGACTTTAATATTGACCTCTGCGAGCCTGAACACCCCACTGCTGTTAGCTTCCTCAACTGTATGAATTCCTGCTTCCTCATACACTTAATCACTAGACCTACTAGAATCACTGATAGCACTGCCATGACGCTCGATCACATCTGGACAAACATAACCTCTCTGCTTACTTCAGGTATAATCAGCGATAGCACTACAGATCATTACCCCACATTTCTCTTAACTAACATTAGCAAACCACCTCTTGAGTCAAGAGTGATACGTTTTAGACTACACAATGAAACTGCTATAGACAATTTTATAACTGCTGCTGATAATGTCAACTGGGAGTCCGAGTTAGGTAACATAGTGGACATCAACCTTGCAGTACAATCTTTTCTTCAAAAAACTCTTAGCCTTTATAATACCCACTGTCCTATGCTTACAAAACAAGTCACAACCAAAAGGCTTAACAATCCCTGGCTTACAAAGGGAATACTTAAATCTATTAATAAAAAACATGACCTTGAGAAGAAGTATAGGTTAGGAATTGTCTCCAAAGAATTCTCAAAGAATTACTCATTATTGCTGTCTAAGATAATTAGACGAGCCAAAACTAAATACTATGAAGATAAATTTACCCAAATAAAGAGCAACATTAAACAAACTTGGAGAACAATTTCTCAAATATTGGGATCAAAGAAGTCTTTAAATAACAAACCGACTCTCCTGTATAATAACGATGGTCAGCTTTCAGCCTCTGATTCTGCTACTGAGTTCAATAGGTTCTTCTCTTCCATTGGTTCATCCCTTGCAAATGATATTCCATCTTCCAGTACAGACGTTAATGACTATCTTTCAGGTAACTATCCACAGTCTCTGTACCTAAAGCCTATTAATTCCACTGACGTCAATGAGATAATCCTTTCCCTTAAAACCAAGTCTGGTGCCCTTGAGGAGATACCCACTTTAATTTACAAAAAAGCCTCCAGATCTTTAGCCCCTGCTATTGCTTTGCTCTTCAACAAGTCACTTTAACTCCAAACCTTCCCAGATATTCTAAAAAAAGCGAGAGTAACGCCTGTCCACAAATGTGGTAATCTCACAGATGTTAACAACTACAGACCTATATCTATCCTGCCAAACTTGTCAAAAATTTTTGAAAAACTAATCTATAAGCAGCTTTACTCATATCTAGCCAAACTCAATATACTTAGCCCTTGCCAATATGGCTTCAGACCCAAAAAAAGCACTAACGATGCACTTATTAGTATGCTTAACTCGATTCATACAGCTCTTGATAAAAATGAGTTCTCTGTTGGGTTGTTTGTGGACCTGCGTAAAGCTTTTGACACTGTCAACCACCAAAACCTTCTTCTTAAATTACATCATTATGGAGTCAGAGGACACTCCCTACAATACCTCAAATCCTTCCTTACTGACAGGCTCCAATATGTTTCTGTGAATAATACAATTTCTCCCACCCTACCCATCAACATTGGTGTTCCCCAGGGCAGCATACTTGGCCCTCTCCTCTTTCTCATCTACATTAATGACCTTCCAAATGCCTCCCAACACCTCAAACCAATTCTATTTGCTGACGACACAACCTTCTTTTACTCCAGTCCTGATCCCCTTGCTCTAAATGCCACAGTAAATACTGAGCTAAATAAAGTCCATCTGTGGCTAACTGCCAACAAACTCACCCTTAACATTGACAAAACCTTTTATATTCTGTTTGGCAATAAATCCTCTAATCAAATAAATCTCAAAATAAACAATACCCAAATTTGTAACAAATTAGATGGCAAATTCCTTGGCATTCTCATTGACCACAAGCTTAATTTCCAGGGACACATTCTAAACATATCAAAAAAAGTTTCAAAAACTGTGGGCATTCTTTCTAAGATCAGATATTATGTACCACGCCCTGCCCTGGTGACTCTCTATTACTCCCTTATCTATCCGTATCTCAACTATGGTATTTGTGCTTGGGGCTCTACTACCCAAAATCACTTACGTCCTCTAATTACTCAACACAAAGCTGCTATTAGGACAATATCCAATTCTGGCCCCAGACACCACTCGGTACCCCTACTTAAATCTCTGAATATGTTAGACATTAAGTCACTGCACATTCTCTCATGTGTATTATACATATATAAAACGCTAAACTATAATGCCAATCCTGATCTCAAAAGCTTCATAGAAGGTTGTTTTCTGATCAGGGAAAGGAAGACACCAAGCCTTGGGGGCGTAATTTTATTGACATGATAAATAATTCTGCAGAAGTAAAACAGGCTTTTAAATAGGACTTAACAAATGATATAACATAGCCGTGGCTAACGCAAAGTACACGATACATCTTAAATTGTACACCCGTAGTAAAACGTAATCTTATAGCCTAGTAACAAACTCTGCAGAAACCTAATGTCCTAATGTCTAGAAATCGCAGTGAGGCGAATGTAACAAATCTAATACTAAGTATAACAGGACACCAAAGTGAACAACATAACATAAGGGAAACCCTAGCTGGAGAATAATCAGGCGGCAGAAAACATAGTGACTGGGGAAGCCTGATATGTAATTGGAGAAGAAAATAACCCCAGGCCAGAGGCCGAGCCGCCAAGGAAGGAATTACCTGACAAGGTAGGGCTTACTAGTAGAATGTCTGTAAAGTCAAAGTAGTAGCTGCGGACAGCGGAACACTTGGGGACGGGCGCTGCACCCCCCCCCCCACCCATCCCCAGTGAAACGGGAGGAAAACGTGAGGAACAACGACTGACGTAGTCAGAACCGTGAGAACTGGCAGCCAGCAGAAAGGGGGAGGAGTTGGACCTGGTCGGGAGAGTGAGTGAGAGCGGGACCTGACTTCCCGCGCCTTTTATGCCACCCAGGCTGGCCGCACCGCGCCTGCGGGACGCGATGCGCAATTGTCTCTTCCTTCCCCCGTCAGAAACTCCACCGCCTTTCGTCAAAAGGCAGTGGGCCATTTTCCGATCAGGAAAAGGAAGACACCAAGCCTTGGGGGCGTAATTTTATTGACATGATAAATAATTCTGCAGAAGTAAAACAGGCTTTTAAATAGGACTTAACAAATGATATAACATAGCCGTGGCTAACGCAAAGTACACGATACATCTTAAATTGTACACCCGTAGTAAAACGTAATCTTATAGCCTAGTAACAAACTCTGCAGAAACCTAATGTCCTAATGTCTAGAAATCGCAGTGAGGCGAATGTAACAAATCTAATACTAAGTATAACAGGACACCAAAGTGAACAACATAACATAAGGGAAACCCTAGCTGGAGAATAATCAGGCGGCAGAAAACATAGTGACTGGGGAAGCCTGATATGTAATTGGAGAAGAAAATAACCCCAGGCCAGAGGCCGAGCCGCCAAGGAAGGAATTACCTGACAAGGTAGGGCTTACTAGTAGAATGTCTGTAAAGTCAAAGTAGTAGCTGCGGACAGCGGAACACTTGGGGACGGGCGCTGCACCCCCACCCCGCAGGCCAGCAGGCCGGACCCCCCCCCCCCGAAGGGCGAGTGCCCGCTGAGGGAAACCTCAGGGTGGCCAAGCAATTACGCTACCGACTGGGAAGGAAACGTCACTCTCGCACCTGCCTACCGTGAGTAGTGTTCTGCAAGCTCTTCTACAGGCGGCTGAGGGCCCCGCCTAGACCATATAGAGAGAGACGTAACCAGAAGGAGCCCAGCCTAGCTCCTCGAAGCCGTAACTTGCGGGTGGCGACGTGGGCGCTTTTCCTGTGTGGGTTCGTCGCGAGGCCGAGCTGGAGGGCATGGGTTGTAGGCAGGGTGCCTCCTTCGGCAGCGTGGGCAGTAGTGCTTGAATGAACATGAGGTGAAAGTGCAGCCGGGTCCCCTCGAGTGGTAGGCGAAGCAGTAGCCCGGGGGTAGCCCAGCTGCCCGGGCGCTGGAGAGAGAAAGTGCTGCCGGTCGCCCTGCCTCCTGCCTCACAGGCTGAGCAGCGGCCTGGGCGATGCGTTGCACCGAGCGAAATTCCAGGTCCAGCCTGTAGTCCAACCATGAACAGCCCGACCTCTCCCTGTCCCATCTGAAGGCCTGATCGTACCACATCCAGTCGCCTTTGAGGGTCGTCTTCATGGTCTTCACGTAACGCGCATAGGTAAACAGAGCCTGAGCCTCCGCTGGGTGCTTCTCGACGTAGATAGTGGCGTAGATGTCAAGGCCATGCGCCCACTGGTCCGGCGTCAGGGGCGGCTGCTTCTTACCAGGCTGCTTTGCGTCAGGGGGTGTCGCGGAGTGGGACTCAAAAGAACCTGATTCCCGCTCATAGGCAAGCAATTGCCCGAGGTCGACATACTTGTTTGCCCAGACCTTCTCCCGAAGGGCTTGCGGGACATGCACGCCCAAGAGTGGGATGCTGGAGCCCGTAGCCGCCCGTAGATGCCCCGGCCAGGGGCTAGAAAAAGTGTGGGGTGCTCTCTCCTCAGGGGACTCGTCGTAGGAGGACGGACTGGAGGAGCTTGCACGACGCCTCGACGTATGCCCCCTGGCCCTGGCCCGTGGGCGGCGGTCAGTGGAGGGGGGCAGGGCGGCTGTGGCAGCCGCAGCAGGGTCGGCCTCGGAAGTCCCCGTGGCCGGACGGCTTGTGTGGTGAGAGGGCCCCCGGGCCTGCGCGATGAGCGCCTGCAGCGTCGCCCAATCGTCGGCCGACAGGGGTGAAGGCTGCGACGCTGTGCCACCCGCCGCTATGCCGGCAGTGGGCCTCTGGGATGTGTGGTCGCCGTCCGTATCCGAGCCGCCCGAGGAGCCCCCCGAGGAGGGGGAGGCGAAACGGGCGGGCTTCGTCCTGTCCCTGGCCGGCTGCGTCCTAGCACCACTGCGCTGTTGTCCTCGCGTTGACGCCGCCCGAGCCCTCTTCCGTGTTGCAGTTGCTGCATGATCCGGCTTCTCGCCACTGTGGAAAGGTGAAAACGTAAGCAATGGCACTGATTTAACACTGCAAAAGTGTTATTAAGTAAATACCGGGCATAACTGAAGTTGGACTAAGGAACAATTAAGTTTAGAAACTTAAATAAATAATAAATAACGCAGTGAGGCCAAATCAGCAAGAGAGGCATGAAGCTTAAGCAGTGCTAGAAACAAAGAATAAGTAGCAGAGTAGATATAAGACAAACTGTAACTGAACAAATAAATAGCTTAAGACCGTATTGTAATATATTTATTTTTAAACTGAGCAAATAAAAGATAATAGATACTTGTATTAAAACTGAACCAATAAAGAGTAATCAGTGAGTCATGGATACATTGGGTAGAATAAAGCAGGACTATACAGTGGTAGGATGTTAGGTTAAACAGATAAAACTGCAAGGTTTAGTTTGGGTAGATTAAAACTAATGTTCGGGGAATGGTTAAACAGTACTTATTCAAGGAACTAGAATAAACAATAATGGTCTCAAAAGTGAAAACAAAATTAATTGCGTGTCCCACGGCAATGGGCACTGCCATAACGCTGCAACAGGATAGTAAGTAAATACAAGGCATAACTGAAAGCTGAACAAAGTAATAAATTAATTTAGAGAAACTTAAAAATGATAACATGGCGTAGCTCACCCAAGCCGACAAACCACTCTACGGCATGTGCCTACCCTGGAGGAGTAAAACAGAACAGTGAGAACGGGAGGGAATATTATATTCTAACAATAGAATAAGACCGTAATATAATGTACTTGCGAAAAGCTGAACAAATAAAAGAAAACGGGGTAAGCATGGGGAAGATTTGGTAGCTAAAGCGGGATTAAATTAGGGATAGGATGGTAAGAAACAGTAATATGCAAGGAATGTTTTGGGTAGCGAAAACTGTATTGTTCAAGGGATGGAAAGGTTATTAACCAGTACTAAACAAGGGAGAATGCTAGCCTAAGCAATAATATTCTCGAAAGAGAACAAATTTAGACGAGTATCGCACAGCACTGGACGCAGCATAACACTGCAAGAGGAATAGTAAGTAAATACAAGGCATAACTGTAAGCTGAACAAAGTAATAAATTAATTTAGAACTTAAAAAATAATTAACATGACATAGCCTGCCCGACGGCGTGCACCTGCGCTGGAGGAGGATGGGACAGGGAACCAGGAGGGAACGTGTACGTGCAGGAACAACAGGCGTCGACGCCGAGGGACGAGACGTCATGTAACAAACGGCCCGGTCTACGCCGGGCTGGCCAAACTGTTGGGGCGAACATCGCGTGGGCACCGAGCCAGCAAACATCTGGGGGCGAACGAACAGAGATACACCGGCCATCCCAAACGACTGGGTACGAACAAGCCGGGAGACACCGGCCATCCCAGACGACTAGGTACGAACAAGCCGGGGTACACCGGCCATCCCGGGCGACTGGGTACGTACAGAACGGGCTTCACCGGCCGGACAAACGTCTGAGACGAACAAGCCAGGCTCCACCGGCCAGACGAAAACATCAGTGACGAACAGCAGGGCTGGGCCAGCCACACAGCAGCTGAGGGGAACAAGCTGGGCTACACCAGCCAGACAACCAACCGGGGCCAACAACGAGGCTACCTCAGCCAGACAACGTCTGGGACAAACGAACTGAGCTACACCGACCGGCCAAACAACTGGGACGAACACGCTGGGCTTCACCAGCCAGACAAAACAACTGGGACGAACAGGCTGGGCTGCAACAGCCAGACAACGACTGGGCAAACAAGCTAGGAAACGCCAGCCAGACAACAACTGGGACGAACCAACCGACTTCAACAGCCAGACAAACGACTGGGACGAACGAATGGGCGACACCCGCCAGACAAACGTCTGGGGCGAACGAACTGTACTACACCAGCCAGACACACGTCTGGGCGAACGAACTGTACTACACCAGCCAGACACACGTCTGGGCGAACGAGCTGGGCTACACCAGCCAGACAAACGTCTGGGACGAACGAACTGTACTACACCGGCCAGACACACGTCTGGACGAACGAGCTGGGCTACACCAGCCAGACAAACGTCTGGGCGAACGAGCTGGGCTACACCAGCCAGACAAACGTCTGGGCGAACGAGCTGGGCTACACCAGCCAGACAAACGTCTGGGACGTACGAGCTGGGCTACACCAGCCAGACAAACGTCTGGGGCGAACGAGCTGGGCTACACCAGCCAAACAAACGTCTAGGACGAACGAGCTGGGCTACACCAGCCAGACAGCAACTGGGACGTACGAACTGGGGACGAGGACAAGCAGGCTGTGCACCAGCCAGACAACGTCTATGAACGAACAGGCTGGGCAACACCAGCCAGACAAACAGGCTGGGCTACACCAGCCAGGCAAACGTCTAGGACGTACAGGCTGGGCTACACCAGCCAGACGAACGCCAGGGGCGAACAGGCTGGGCTACACCAGTCAGACGAACGTCTAGGACGAACAGGCTGGGTTACACCAGCCAGACAAACTACCGGACAATCAGGCTGTGCTACACCAGCCAAACAAACGTCTAGGGCGAGCAGGCTGGTCTACGCCAGCCAGACAAAACGCCTAGTTACGGACAAAACGAGCAACACCGTACTTACAAACAACGTGGACGAACAAGCAGGGCAACTCCGACCAGTCAAACGTCTGAAGAAGAACATGCCGGACGGCGCTGGCTGACGCGAGGCAGCCGTTAAGAATATAGTGGTGGGCCTACCCACCGGGGCACCGCCGCCACAAGGGGGGGGGGGGCCCCTGCCCGAGGGCGAGAAGGGAGAAGGACAGGAAGGAAGCGTACACAGCCCAAGGCAAGCGCTCAACGGAGCGCCATGCCACGTGGGTGATGCCGACCTTGTCATGGACCCCTAGCGTCGGGCCCTAGGGGCAAAGACAACTAAGAAAAGGAAAAACCCGGCCAGGAGGCGTCGCCACCAGGGAGACGCCAGGACGCTCGCAGGGAGCCTGGCCGGACACGCACGGCCAAGCGCATCACGAACCCTGGCCCCTGCAACCAAGCCTAAAAGGCGCAACAAACCAGGTTCCAGGGAAAGACGCCTGGGACGGGGAAGGAAACGAAGGGCATCCCTGGGCGAGTGCTTCGCCGAGCTCCAAGCCACGTGGGCGCCGCCCACCGGGCGAGGGCCCCAGGGCTCAGAGCCCTGGAAATCGCCACGTGGCGTCGCCACAGAGGGCGATGCCAGACCACAGAAGGAGCCTGGCCGAGCACGCACGGCCAGGCGCGGCGAAACATGGCCCTTAGGCAAGCCTAGGGCATAGCAAACCGGGGAGGACCCGCCATGGACGAATGGTCCACCGACATGCAAAAGGGGCCGGGCCCCAGGGCACCGGACCGCCTAAACCTGGCCAGAAGAAGTCGCCGCAGAGAACCACCGCACCAATCCCGACCAGGAGGCGCGCCTGCAACCCCAGGGAGGCAAACAGACGGCAGGCCCTGGGGAACTACCTAAGCGGCACGACGGGCCGAGAGGGACGGCGCAAACACACGCCAGCACTGGGGGAGTCCTGACTAACTTGTACAGGAAAACTCTCTTACCTTAGGGTTTGCTGGGTAGGGCAGGGGGCCCCTGCGGTGCCGGCCTGGGATGTGGAAGGCGCCAACGGATCAGGGAAGATCAGGTCTGGGACCAAGGTAGCGGGGATGGAGTCCATTTGCTTGAGAAATCTCGTGTACACAGTAAACAGAACGTAGAAGTGGTAAGAGTACTGGCCCACGTGTCGATGAGGCGTGGTGCTGAGCGTGGAGCTGCTTCGTGAATCTTGGACCTGGTCGGGAGAGTGAGTGAGAGCGGGACCTGACTTCCCGCGCCTTTTATGCCACCCAGGCTGGCCGCACCGCGCCTGCGGGACGCGATGCGCAATTGTCTCTTCCTTCCCCCGTCAGAAACTCCACCGCCTTTCGTCAAAAGGCAGTGGGCCATATCAGAACCCATGAGCATCACACCAGAAATAAATACAGTTTTGATATTCCTAGAGTACGACTTAATCAAACTAGAAATGCTCTACAAATCAAGGGGCCCAGAATGTGGAATGACCTTCCCAACCATGTTAAAGACTGTACCTCTCTCAACCAGTTTAAGTTAAAAGCGAAGCTATACCTAATAAATTCCCTGTAACCTACCTTACCCTTCTATTGTCAACCAATGTCTGTTTTTTTCTTTAAAGAGCGCTGTTTGTCGACATAATTGTATTTGTGCTGCTTTTTCATCTATGTTTTCATTTCTTGTTTTCATTCTACTCATTATGCTCAATTAGTATTAAGCTTGTCATTTAAGTTTATCATGCCCGAAACGCTTTGCGTAATAGTGGCTTTAGGCATTGTATGTACTAGCTATACCTATAAGTTAAACAATCCTTGTAAATATTTATTGTATGTATGTACCTTACCTAAATAAAATTGTATTGTATTGTATTGTATTGTATTGGTTAGGTAGTCGAAAAACAATTAATTCATGAAAACTTGGCTTATTAGGCAAATCGAGCCTTGCATAATAGGCTGAGAAGTGCGTTCTGGCTACTAGGTACGACATTATATATATATATATATATATATATATATATATATATATATATATATATATATATATATATGTCATTAGCATATTTCTTATTATGTTAGATTATAGTAGGCTATAGGTCAGCCACTATTACTACTGCTGGAGAAGACAGCGTGGGAACGTGTGTGGCAGTTGGTGGACGAGAGGATGAGGTCGCTGAAGCTGTCCCCCCTCGATAGGGCGAGTCCCCCCCCCCCCCCCCCCCATTTAAATCTGCCTATCAGAGGTGCCAAAGGCGGCGAGAGTAGAGCTGCCAACGTTCTCCAGATCATCTATTTCATATATTTTCTCATGTGTTATTCCTTATATGATTAATGTAGTTTTCACATAGTAAACTTCATATTATTTTACTGAGGTGTTTATGTGCGCCTTCCATCTCTCTTTGAGCATTATTAAGTGATACTATTGCACCACAATATGATTCGTATTATTTTTATATGGAAAATATCCTACTGACTGGCAGTATTTGATAGTTACACTGATAAACAAGGCATATGCACACAACCAAATATTGTTTATTTAGTTAAAATTAATTCTGCTTTTCTGTTGTACTATCCATCATGTAATTATCATCATTCTCTTTTTCTCCTGTTTTTTTTAACACAATTTATGCTTTTGGTCTTAATTAGTATTACGTTTTAGTCTAATTTTTTGTTCACACCTTGCCTGAATACGCTGTGTGTATTAGTGGCTTCAGACATTGTATGTACTAGCTCTATCTATTAATCCGACACTATGCTTGTACTGTAACTCATTTTCAGTGTATGTACCTTTACCTGAATATCTTATCTACTGCCAAGCACCATTGGAGACAAGTACAGTGCAAGCGAGCTGTGATAAAGTATTAACAGCAACTTTACAATGCATGTTGTTATGCAACAGGGCAACAGTACCACTATAGGGTCTTTCAGGACCTGACCAGTCACCAAACATTTCTATACAATTCACTACACCACCAGTCTCCGTGGTGTAGTGGTAAGATACTCGCCTGGCATTTCGCGAGCGCTTTGTCACGGGTTCGTATCCTGGCCGGGGAGGATTTACTGGGCGCCAATCCTTAACTGTAGCCTCTGTTTAACTTACAGTAAAATGGATACTTGGTTGTAAAAACGATTCTTCGTGGCGGGGATCTTATTCCAGGGACCTGCCCGAAAAGCTACGCGTACTAGTGGCTGTACAAGAATGTAACAACTCTTGTATATATATCTCAAAAAAAAAAAAAAAAACGCCTTCAGATTTGGAGAGGCTTTCAAATTCATAAGATGTAAGCCAATGTTCCTGCAAAATAAGAATATCTCACATACCAAAATGCTTTTGACATCCAACCATTCAGGGGTTTGTTACTTCTCCAATTACCTAATAACTAGAATTATGACTTTACTGATACCGAAGCACTGTCTTAGGGTAAATATACAATAATACATGAAGATCATTTATGTGCTAATTAAAAGAACACTTATATGACTATACTAAGTGGACAATAAATTTGAATGTTGAGACAATTGTCAAGTTATAATTATATAAAAATTAACAGGATTTAAGAGCCAACTAATATTTATTAAGTTTTACTCTACATATTTTTTGCCCACACCTTGCCTGAAATGCTGTGTGTATTAATGGCTTTAGGGATTGTATATACTAGCTCTTTCAAGAAATCCAATATTGTGTTTGTAACTCATCTTGTATGTAAGTACTTTTATCTGAATAAATATTTGATTTCATTTAATTTTATATATATATATATATATATATATATATATATATATATATGTCGTACCTAGTAGCCAGAACTCACTTCTCAGCCTACTATGCAAGGCCCGATTTGCCTAATAAGCCAAGTTTTTATGAATTAATATATTTTCTCAATTTTTTTTCTTATGAAATGATAAAGCTACCCATTTCATTATCTATGAGGTCAATTTTTTTTTATTGGAGTTAAAATTAACGTAGATATATGACCGAACCTAACCAACCCTACCTAACCTAACCTAACCTATCTTAATATGTTAGGTTAGGTTAGGTAGCCGAAAAAGTTAGGTTAGGTTAGGTTAGGTAGGTTAGGTAGTCGAAAAACAATTAATTCATGAAAACTTGGCTTATTAGGCAAATCGGGCCTTGCATAGTAGGCTGAGAAGTGCGTTCTGGCTACTAGGTACGACATATATATATATATATATATATATATAATGTCGTACCTAGTAGCCAGAATGCACTTTTCGGCCTACTATGCAAGGCCCAATTTGCCTAATAAACCAAATTTTTATGAATTGTTTTTCGACTAACCTACCTAATCTAACTTTTTCGGCTACCTAACCTATAAAGATAGGTTAGGTAGGGTTGGTTAGGTTCGGTCATATATCTACGCTAATTTTAACTCCAATAAAAAAAAATTGACCTCATACATAATGAAATGGGTAGATTTATCATTTCATAAGAAAAAAATTAGAGAAAATATATTTCAGGAAAACTTGGCTTATTAGGCAAATCGGGTCTTGTATAGTAGGTCGAGAAGTGCGTTCTGGCTACTAGGTACGACATTATATATATATATATATATATATATATATATATATATATATATGTCGTACCTAATAGCCAGAACGCACTTCTCAGCCTACTATTCAAGGCCCGATTTGCCTAATAAGCCAAGTTTTCATGAATTAATGTTTTTTCGTCTACCTAACCTACCTAACCTAACCTAACCTAGCTTTTTTTGGCTACCTAACCTAACCTTACCTATAAATATAGGTTAGGTTAGGTTAGGTAGGGTTGGTTAGGTTCGGTCATATATCTACGTTAATTTTAACTCCAATAAAAAAAAATTGACCTCATACATAGAGAAAAGGGTTGCTTTATCATTTCATAAGAAAAAAATTATAGTAAATATAATAATTCAGGAAAACTTGGCTTATTAGGCAAATCGGGCCTTGAATAGTAGGCTGAGAAGTGAGTTCTGGCTACTAGGTACGACATATATATATATATATATATATATATATATATATATATATATATATATATACACAATGGGGCCTCAACTTACAATGCTAATCCGTTCCCAGAGACGGATCGAAAGCCGAAATATCGTACGTTGAAGCGATTTTCCCATAAGAAATAAGGGGATTTGAATTAATCCGTTCCCCACCCTCCAAAATATTTGTATTCAGTATAAAATGTATTTTATTTGTATGCTAATATTTTGGAGGGTGGGGAACAGATTAATTCACCACTTAATTGTATAAAATGTATTTTTTTTGTATGCTATGTTTTTTTTCTAACTACAATATAGTACCTAAGTTTATCTTACCTTTATGGAGGGCTCTTGATGGCATATGGAAAATGGTGATGAGGGGGGAGGATGAGAGTTGTTACTGTTTGGAAGGGGAGTCCCCTTCCATTATCACATCAGGCAGTGATGTTTTCTCTGGGGTACACTCTCTCCTACGGTTTGCCTGAATACCACTAGGACCTGGTTGTGGTTCAGTGCTTGTTTGTCTCACTACAAATTTGTCAAGAGACATTTGTTTTTCCCTTCGTTTTAACATTAACGTTTTAGCAGTCCCCGTGGTGTAGTGGTAAGACACTCGCCTGGCGTTCCGCGAGCGCTATGTCATGGGTTCGTATCCTGGCCGGGGAGGATTTACTGGGCGCAAATCCTTAACTGTAGCCTCTGTTTAACGCAACAGTAAAATGTGTACTTGGTTGTAACAACGATTCTTCGCGGCGGGGATCGTATTCCAGGGACCTGCCCGAAACGCTACGCGTACTAGTGGCTGTACAAGAATGTAACAACTCTTGTATATATCTCAAAAAAAAAAAAAAAAAAAAATTTGCCTGTAATGATGCATCACTTTAGCACTCATAATGTCCTTTTTCTTAGCCAGTACGGTGGATATCGTTGACTGAGATTTGTTGTACTGCCTAGCCAGTCCAACAACCTGCGCACCATCTTCATATTTACGAATGATCTCTTGTTTCTGCTCTATGGTCATCCTTACATGGGATCTCATATGTTGAGCCTTACCACTGACTTTCCTGGGACTCATGGTGTCATATATAATAATTACTTTGATATTCAAAATGCAAAAAATAACCACAAAAGCGAAATTTCTTATAGGCGCGATCATCAGTAAGCGGGCAGCTGTAATAAACTGAGGCAGGTCGGCCGCGTGACCGGGAACCACGCGCTCGGTCGACCCAAACGTGTACCAACAAATATCGTAAGTCGACGACATCATCGGATGTGGAGTCGCATTTTTCGATGAAATTTACATCGTAGCTCGAAATTATCGTAAGTAGTCCCAATCGTAA